CATGTTGGCCACCTGCCTGTCAGAGGAAAATCGCTTCCTCCTTCCTAGTTGGAAGGCAGCTCTAATGAGTGATGGGCAGCCGCCTTCACAACAGCGGCGGCTCTTTGCATAGGGAACAGGCAGCCCCAGCGCCCCACATGCTGTGCCCCCTCCTCCTTCTCTGGCAGGAGGTCCTACCTCCTGCTAATTGCTCAGCCAAGTAATTAGCTGAGGCAGATTGTGGCTCCTGGCTAGACCAGGGGCAGACCAGCTACCGCAGTCTGAAACCCTGCTTTGTACCACATACACTCACCATTCCCTTCTTGGATGCCCATCTCCACAGCCCAAGGGAGTGCTCTGTGCGGACCAGAGACCAGCCATCACTTCCCTGCCTGCCTGCCCCATCCACAGGCGCTGACCCAGCTATACCAGTGCCTGAGAAATACACACAGGCAGGGGAAAGAGCCCTCCTACCTCTGCCCTGGAAAAGGGGCACAGCAAGGGTAACTCTGACACCTCCATGGGCATGGGGCAGCCAAGATGTTTAAATCACTGCTAGGGAACTCTCTGACACCCCATCCCAAAGGTGCCATCTCAGATGCCACCCTGGGAATGTCCCAGACATGACACTCAGCACAGAGGAAACACTTCGCTTCCCTCACCTCAAACCATGGCAATGCACAGAGGAAGAACCGAGCACGCAGGGACCAGCCACCCTCCAGCCCTGCACATCCCCAGTGCCATCTGCACCTTTCCCTGTGGAACATCCTCATCCTCACCCCCAGACCCAGCCACCCTGGGAAGCTCTCCTTCGCTCCCTTTATCCTGCTCTAGAGTTGGGTGTTTCTCTTCAACCAGGCCCCTCCAGACCCCGCTCCTTGGCAATCACATAAGCCCAAGTGTCCTCACATGCTTTAGGCCAGCATTCCAGATACAGTACTTCCATCCCTTTACTTTGCAGGCTGTTTGTTGCCTCTCCCTGAAGACCCAATAATTTACTGGCATTTCTCCCAAAAGATACCTTCCAAAGAAGGCCCAAGCAACTGCAAGATCCCTTAGTCCATCGTACTGGGATCTCCCTTCTCATGTGCTTGGGCCTCACTTTGTTCCTGCCCTTCCTCTTTATGACCCTCCATTTGCTTCATTGCAAGTAGAGTCCTTCTTGTGAATCAAAAGACGTGTCTGGTTCCCAGCACAGGAAACAGAACTCAAACCACACTGCACAACAGGAGGGGGAAGAGTCCCACTCAGAGCACGCTGCAGAACACGTGGCTGCTCCACACGCACTCACCTGCATGGAAGTACGGGCTCATGGTGTAGGGGAATCCGAAGGGCAGCGGCTGAGGTGGTGGGATGGAGGCTGGTGGGAGATATTTCACCTCAGTTTTGTTGATGCCTGGCCCGAGCAAGTGGCTGGGGGACTCTGCACTGGAGGAGCTGCAGGGAGCGGTTTGACCAGCAGCCCCTTCACCCAGCTCCTTGGCCCCTTCACACGCTTTGCCCGTCTCTTTGCACTCCTTAAGCTCCGCGGCCGAGCTGCTGCTCTCAGCCTTCAGGCTCTCCGGCTTCTCATCGCTCACATCCGCGTCGCTCTCCGAGTCCTTCATCTCCTCATCGTTACAGTCCGGAGCGCCGTCCCGTGCCCGGGGCTCCGCCA